CTGTGTATTGTGAATCTGTAACTATATTAATAGGTTCTTTAAAATCCCTTAGCACCATAAGAATGGCATATAATTCCGCCTTCTGGACAGAATTATACGGACTTTGTTCCACCTTACCCAAGTCTTCTGATTTGTAACCTGCCTTCCCTGATTTATTGGCATCAGTATAGAATGTACGGGCTCCAGTTATTGGAGCATCATGGACGATTCAAGGAAGAATCCAAGAAGTTCTCTTTATGAAGTTAAGCCTCTTACTTTTTGAATAGTTGTTATTAATGTCTCCCAAAAAATTAGCACAAGCTCTTTGTCATGGTTCATTATCTTCCCATAATTTCTTTAGTTCATCAGCAGTGAAAGGCACTATAATTTCTGCTGGGTTTATGCCTGCTAGTTGACGAAGTCTCAGCTTGCCTTTTATAATTAACTCAGAGACTTTTTCCACATAAGGTTTCAGTTTCTTACTTGGTTTATGTGGTAAAAAGATCCATTCTAGAATAATATCATCTCTCTGCATTAAAATTCCTGTAGGAGAAATTTTTGACTGTAATATGACGAGAATACAATCAAGCTCTGGATTCACTCTGTCCACATGTGCCTGTTGTAATTTTTCCTCAATCATTGTCAGTTCCTTTTCTGCTTCAGCTGTTAATTGTCTGGGACTGTTTAAATCTTTATCACCATCCAAGGTTTTGTTCAAATGAATTATTAGATCAGGTGTTATTCCAATAGCTGGTCGTAGACTGGAAATGTCTCCTAACAGTCTTTGAAAGTCATTAAGAGTCCGTAGGCGATCTCTCCTAATTTGTGCTTTTGGTGTCTTAATTTTTTGCAAACCTATTTTATAACCTAAATAATTAACAGAATCTCCCTTCTGAATCTTTTCAGGAGCGATTTGTAATCCCCATTTAGGTAAAAGTATCTTTATTTCTTCAAACAGTCTGTTCAAGGTATCCATGTTTGAATCGGATAACAAAATGTCGTCCATGTAATGGTATACTATAGATTTGGGAAATTTCTTGCGTATTATTTGCAATAGTTGGTTCACAAAATTTTGGCACAGGGAGGGGCTATTTAACATACCTTGAGGGAGAACGGTCCAGTGGTACCTCCTCGAAGGTTGAGAATTGTTATAAGTAGGCACTGTGAAGGCAAATTTTTCTCTATCTTCTTTTTGCAAAGGTATAGTGAAAAAACAATCCTTTAAATCAATAACTATGAGAGGCCATCCTTTTGGTAATAAAGAAGGCAAAGGAATTCCAGATTGCAGAGGGCCCATAGGTTGAATAACCTTGTTGATAGCCCTGAGATCTGTCACCATTCTCCATTTACCTGATTTTTTCTTAACCACAAATACAGGAGAATTCCAATGGCTGGTAGATTCTTCTCAGTCAACGATTTTAGAGGCAAGGCTGTTGGTATCTCTGAAGGGACATCAATTGCTTGTTCTTGTACAGCCCGAATGGCCGGTTTTCTCCATTTGTAATATCTTTTAATATTATTCTCAGAAATATAGGCTCTAGAAGTAGCAGGAATGTTAATTTTGGTATTCCATTGTTGTAATAGGTCACGACCCCATAAATTCATTGCGATATTGGCTACATATGGCCTTAATTTTCCTATTTGTCCCTCTGGCCCTATACATTCAACCCATCTTGTGCTCTGCCTTACTCGAGATAGGGTTCCAATTCCCAGGAGCTGAACATTTACATTCTGAAGAGGCCAGCAGGATGCCAAGATTCTGGGGTAATGATACTTACATCAGCACCTGTGTCCAGCAGGCCAGTAATAAAAATGCCATTTACACACACTCTCAGTTTAGGTCTTCGATCATTTATAGAAGTTTGCCAAAACACACGTAACTTATCTTTCTGATCATTATTGCTTGTAACAGTAGGCATGGGGCTTCCTAATTGTCCTGATGAGGCACATTCTCTGCAGAAACTGGAAATGACTGAACCATGTTTGCCATGGCGGCCTGTGAGGCCCCCCCTCTCACGTTTACTGACTGTATCAGGTTGTCTTGTCTATCTCTTGTAGACCTGCATTCATTTGTCCAATGTCTGCCTTTTCCACATCTTCTACATAAACCTGAAGGCTGAGTCCTCCTATTTCTGTTATTTCTAGAAGATGCATTATTATTATTATTTCTGAAAGATGCATTATTATTATTATTATTATTTCTGAAAATCCGTTTTCTACAATTCCTTTTCATATGACCCATTTTGCCACAATTAAATCATTTGGTATTCTGGTGTCTCCTTTTACCATTGGAAATTGCTTCTTCTACCCATGCTTCAGTGCCATAATCAAATGTATCAACATTGTGTGTATGCAAGACCCGTTCTTCCAAGGGCGCTGATCTGAGCTTTAAAGGGCCCAAAATCCTTTTGCATTCCACATTTGAATTTTCATAAGCCAAAGACTCAATCATTATACGTCTTGCTTCTGGGTCAGATATCCCTATTTGTACAGCCTTAGTTAATCTTTGTAAAAAGTCACTAAAGGGTTCTCTCTGACCCTGTTTAACTCTGACAAATGATTCCATTCTCTGTCCTGGGTCTTGTACCCTGTCCCAAGCCCTTAAGGCTGCTGTAGTACACATGGAGAGTGTGTTTTCATCCAAATTAGCTTGTTCCTGAGGGTCGGAAAAGAGCCCTTCACCTAGAATTTGATCTAGGGAAATGTCAATTCCCTTCGCTTTTTCCTGCTGTTCTAAGAGTCTAGCCTCTTGCCTGAATAAGCATTTCCATTTCAATTGCGGTCCACTCTCAAGTACCGCAGAGCTCAGCTGGAGCCAGTCCGAGGGGGTTGCTCTGCTTGTCATGGCCCAAGATCTTATCATCTCTTTAACAAAAGAGGCTTGCATCCCAAAAGTCATGACAGCCTGTTTTATTTCCTTGAGATCATTCATACGGACAGGCTCCCATGTATCCTCCTTGATGACCCTAGGGTTTCTGGAACCAATCACCTTCTCTGTTGTTATTACTGGAAAGGCAGGTAGAGCTGTAGGTAGAGATTTGTGGAAATTGTCCCGGAGAGATTTACCCACAGATGTAGTTAAAATTTGCCTTTCTACCCTTTGCTCTTCTTCATCAGAATTTAGAACTTCCTCAATCTTTTCAATTCTATTCACCATTGCCTTCTGCAATGTCTGAATCTCCTGTCCAGAATTATGTTCCAAAGCCTTCACTGAGGATTCTAAAGTATGAAGTTTGTCCATTAGAGATAACATCTCATCTTTGGACATAATTTTTATGGCATAAACCGTGCCTTCTTGTATTGACAATCTTTCCGTCAATCTGTCATAAGCTTTAGACAAAATCCGATTGTCACATTCAGCAGTTTTGATTCTCTCAGTTAATGTTTCATTTCCTACAGAAAGGAACTGAAGCTTACCATCCAGATCAGCTGTTCCCTCTTCCATAGTAATGAATTTCTCCATAACATCAGCCTGGAGAACTTCAAACTGATTCTTGAGAAGATTGTTGTCATTCTCAATTGTTTTTAAGCATTCAGTCTCTGCCTTAAGAATCCTGGATTCGTCTCGTAAAGACTTTATCATATTTCTATTATCAAACCATTTAGTGTCAATGAAAACTACGAATCCCAGAAGGATCCATAGATGTGGGGTGATAGACACCTCTTGTAAAATCTCCCACATGGTACAATTAAAAAAAAACTGTTAAATTCTTGAATACTAATGTGTTCAGACATTTTATTTATAAAAGAAAATTTTTTTACCTGCAATGATCTGTTCTTGCCAGTGGTGGTCTCTGTGTTTTTGGAGCCTGTCCTGGAACTAGCTCTTGTAGACCAGGCTGGTCTCGAACTCACAGAGATCCGCCTGCCTCTGCTTCCTAAGTGCTGGGATTAAAGGCATGCGCTACCACCGCCTGGCTGGCCTCAAACTCACAGAGATCTGCCTGCCTTTGCCTCCCAAGTGCTGGTATCAAAGGAGTGCGCCACCACTGCCGGGCCAAGTCACTTTGTATCAGACCAAATCTGCCACTGTGGTGGCTTTTTTTGCAAAACCACAGGTAGTTGAGCTTCTGCTAATTCAGGCAGTGGGGTTCTGCTGCAAACTTAACCAAGGCAGGCAGAATGGGCCTGTGTGGCTGAGTGTGTCTCGGACTTGGCACTGGAGCCCGAGTCACGAACTAAAAAACAGCACCCGGGAGGGTGCTGTGTTAGCTAGCGGGCTTCCCGCTTGAGTCGGGGGCAAAATAGCCCACGTTGGATGCCAAAATGTGACGTAAGCGAATGCAGACAGATTGTAAAAATATATATACAGCTTTAATGGAGAAATAGACTTACAGAACCACCGTTCCTGCAGAGACCAGGAAAGCAGAAGTGACAGCTGGGAGCCCACTCGCCAAATTTATAGGCAAACATTAGCCCGAGGCAAACACGCCCCCTTAGGGGCGGGACTTATCCCTACACACTTCGGTATCTCACAGCCTTCGTGTCATTGCTCACTTGTAAAGCACTCTTCTTATTCCTTATCTGGTAGACTTTTACCTATAAACTAGTCAGAATTTGTGATTATATCTTTATTCATCAATGAGTTAATTATTCTGCACGTCCATTGGTAGAAGTGCCGTGTGGTCCAGGGTAGGTCTTTGAGCCATTTATCCTACTTTATCACCATGCTTGGCACGCTGTAGGCTACAAATAAGTAAAAAGGAAAATGCAGTAGACTCCTTTAGAATTCCAAATTAATAGCGATTAGAAACAAAATTGTCATATTCCCATTGTTTGTAGAATAAATTAAATGAATGCTCCAGGAATTGACCAGTTTTGTGATTCCTGGGTCAAAGCATCCCAGAGTCATTAAGCTATAACTAGGCAACCGAGAACTTTCCTAAACATCATTATACTGTTTAGACAACATGGATTCAGAAATTTGTATAAAGCACACTTTTCCCACAAGAACTCTTGGCATTTTGAATATTTAATTATGTAATATATATGTAAATTAACCTCTCTTTAAATCATTTTAGCTATTCAAGATGATGAAGTGGCGGAGACTGTTTACAGAGATAGGAAGAGACGGTTACCTTTGGAGCTGACAGTGGAGTTAACACAGGAAACATTTAACTCGACAGTCATGACTTCGGACAGCTTAGTGCTCTTCTATGCTACTTGTAAGTATGCTCTTTGAAAGGGCATATTACATATGAGGACCCTTAGTAGATGGGTTTTACGTTTGCTTTCTATATATTATACATTGTAAAATGGCATAGTTTTCATGTCTCAGGTAGAGTGCACACATTGAAGCATTTACTTTTGATTCTGAGGAATAAAACTGATCTCTTTTTCTAGATATATAATTTACAAAATGAAGGTTAATGATTAAGCTAGAAATTCATCTAGTTACTTTTGACAGCTAGAATGATTGAATGTAACTATTTTAAAATATCAACATTTTTTAGTAGTATAGAAAATGTCTTATCTTTAAGAACTAGCTATTTCACTGTATACATGAAAATGAGTTTCATTTGAAATCTGTATAAGAGATTGAATAATATTGAGTATTCTGTAGTATGATTATTTGTTACTTGGAAATGCTAGTTTTGATAATTTTCCTAAATCTCTACACGTGTTTATGTGTGTGATGTAAGGATGGGTGCTCCCTAGATAAGCATGTCCTAATGTGTGTTGAATGTTCTTATTTTATTGTAGGGCATGCAGTGTCCATGGCATTTCTGCAGTCCTACATTGATGTGGCAATTAAATTGAAAGGTATTATCCTGTGATATGCATGCTTATTTTTTGGTCTGAATGTGAAACTTTTTATAAAACTGTCTTAAAGATACAAACCCAAGCAAACCACACATAAGACTTAAGATTGTGGCCCTGACTTGAAGAGTGAATCAGGAGGGACAGTGGTGGCACCTCCACCAATTCTTCCGTCATTCAGGGGTGCTGAACTGTCCTGGGATTTTTGTTTTCACTGTTCAGTTGAAAATTGTCATTTCAAGGTCTGTAAAGAACTGTGTTGGAATCTGTAGATTGCTTCTGGTATTGTGATCATTTTTAGCTGTAAACCCATGAGCGTGGGAGATCTTTCTATCTCTGATTTCTTCTTTGATTTCTTTCTTCAATGTTTCAAAGATTTTAATCACACAAGTCTTTCATTTGCTTGGCTAGAGTTCCCTGAAGATATTTTATATTATTTGAGGCTATTGTAAAGGATGTTGTTTTCCTGATTTGTTTCTGAGTCCCTTTGTCATTTGTATATAGGAAGCCTACTGATGTTTTGTGAGTTAATTTTGTTTTCTTCTACTTTGCTGAACGTGTTTATCAGCTATAGCAGCTTCCTGGTAGAGTTTCTAGGATCACGTATATATACTATGATATTGTCTAAAATAAAGTTATCTTGCTTTTCCCCTTCCTGTTTGTATCCATCCCTTTGATCTCCTTTAGTTGTCTTACTGCTCTAGCTAAGATTTAATTGCATTGCATAGGTATGAAAAAAATGGACAACTTTGTCTTGTTCCTGATTTTAGTGGAAACACTTTGAGGTTTTTTTTTTTTTAATTTAAGTTGATAGGCTAGCTGTAAGTTGCCTTCATTATGTTGAGGTATATCCCTATGTTCCTAATCTCCCCAGGACTTTTATCATGAAGGGGTGTTGAATTTTGTCAAAGGCCTTTTCTGTATCTAATGCGATGTTTATATGGTGGCTTAATTTAGAAATTTACATAGCTGACCCATCCCTTCATCTCTGGGATGAAGCTTACTTAATCATGGTGGATAGTCTTTTTGATGTGTTCTTGGACTTGGTTTGCAAATACTTTATTGAGAATTTTTGTAGGTAAGGTATTAGAATGACTGTAGCTCCTCCAAAAGAATTGGAGAGTGTTCCTTCTGTTTCTATTTTGTGTTATAACTCGAGGAATATTGGCATTAACTCTCCTTCAAAACTCACAGAATTCAGTGCTAATATTGCCTGGTCCTGCACTTACTTACTTACTTTTTTTTTTTTTTGGTTGAGACTTTTAATGACTACTTCTATTTCAGTAGGGGTATAGGTCTCTTTAAATTCCTTATCTAGTCTTGATTTTATTTTGTTAAGTGTTATGTATTGAAAAAGTTACCCATTTCTTTTAGATTTTTCAAATTTGATGGAGTATAGGTTTTTAAAGTATGTCCTTTTGATTCTCAGGATTTCCTCGTTGTTGTTATGGCCTCTTTTTTTTTTTGTCTCTAATTTTCTTAATTTGTATCTTCTCTTCCTGCCTTTTAGTTAACTTGACTAAGGGATTTTCAATTTTATTTTCTCAAAGAAACAATTCTTTATTGATTCTTTGTAATTTTGTTGTTGTTGTTTCTATTTTATTGACTTCAGTCCTGAGTTTAATTATTTCTTGCTGTCTACTCCTTTTGGGTGTGATTTCTTCTTTTTGTTCTAGAGCTCTCAATTGTTCTGTTCCTTTCACCTGTGCTGCTTATTCTTCCTCTGTTCCTGTTATTTATAGATTTGGCCTTTTCATAGTGTCTCAGATTTCCTGGATGTTTTGTAGCTGGGTTTTTTTTTTTTTTAAAAATTACTCTTTTCTTTGACCAAGGTGTCTTTTCTTCTCTAGTGTGTCCAGTGCTTGAGACTCTCTTCCTTCTCTTGTAGTCTGTTGGTGAGGCTTTACCTCTAAGGCCCCTTTTCAAATTTCTATACTTTATTTCTGGATTTTTCTTCAGTTTGTGTTTTCTTTATTGATTCATTTTCCACTTGCAAATCTTGTTCTTTGTTTCCTTCCACTGTTTATTTGTGTTTTCATAGATTTCTTCAATGGATTTATTAATTTCCTCTTTAAGGACTTGTAACATATTCATAAAGGCTAGATTGAGTTCCTTGTCTTCTGTTTCAACTATAGTGCTTTTTCAGGGCCTGCTGTGGTAGAGTTGTTGGACTCTACTGGTGACATTTGTCTTGACTATTATTGTGGGTTTTTTTGCTGATGCCAAGGCATCTGGGTTTGGAATATTTATAATTCTATAAAATATATATAAGACCTGATATTAGGTCTTATCTTTGTTGGGATGATTTTCTGTTCCTCGATTTTTGTTGCCCTTTCTGGTTCTTAGGAGAATGTTGATGACTGTAGGGGATGCCTACAGTTGCCTGGTAGAATATGCTTCTGAGATCCTGCCAGGTGTGGCTACTGGGTGTTCCAGATAGAATGTGGTTTTTCGGTATTGAGAGCTGACACTTAGGCATGGAGATGATCTTGACCGGGGTGGGGTGTGGGGTTGGGAGGGTGGAGAGTGGGAACGCAGGGTGTTCCACCAGTGTATGCTTAGTGTCCTGGAATTGGTAGCAGAGTGAGGAGAGGCCACAGCAAGTAGTCTAACAAGCTAGGGATCAGAGTAGGGGATTAGATTTGGAGGAGAGAAGGGAGAGTGAAGACCTGAAAATTGCTTACCTAGTCAGCATGGGGGAGAGGGGTTCCCGAGGAATTCTGGGGGTATTGTTGGCCGAGAAAAAGGATGGGGTAGTGAGGATGGCTGTAGAAGATCTATCTGTGTGCTCCTCTAGAGATAGGTCAGAAAGGAAGTGAAGGCTGTAGTGGATGATCTGCCACAGAGCTAGAGATGAGGCAGGGGGATTGATTGGATCTAGAACAGAGATCATAGGATGAAGATTCCCTGGCCCTTGTGGTTGGTGGGTTGCAGGGAATTAGTTTTCTTGCTTTCTATTGCTGTGATAAAACATCATGACCAAAAGCAACTTAGGGGCAAGAGGGTTTATTTCTCCTTACTCAGGTAGGAACTTGGAGGTAGGACTGGATTAGAGACTATGGAAAAATGCTGCTTCTTGGCTTGCTCTGCTTGGTTTTCTCGGCCTGCTTTTATATACAACCCAGCATTATCTGCCCAGGTTGATACAACCCACAGTGGACTGTGCCCTCCTATAGAAATCAGTAATTAAGAGACTTGCCTACAGGCCAGTTAGGAAGGTATTTTCTCAATTATGATACCGCTTAGATATGCCTAGCTTTGTGTCTAGTAGATCAAGCCAACCAGCACAATAGTATCAATGACAATAGCGTTTTGCATCTGTGTTGACCTCTATACAGGTTAAATATTCCAGACCTGAAAAACTGAGGAACAGAAGTATTTTGGATTTATTTAATTTGTAAATAAATTTAATAATTTCATTTGGCAGTAAATTAAATTTAATAATGTAATTTATTTTAATTTTATTTATATAATTTATATAATGAGATATCTTCTGGATGAGGCCAAAATCTAAACATGAAATTTTTATACATCCTGTAAACATAGTGTCAAGGTAATTGTAGCCAGTATTTTTCTGATTATGGTCTAGAATTTTCTGCTTGTGGTGTTATGTGAACACCAACAACTTTCAGACTTTGGAGCATTTTACACCTCAGATTTTTAAGTTGTATCAGGGATCTCTAGAGAAAGAGAACCAGTAGAGTCCAGTAGCTACCCAGTGCACAAAGCTGGAGGCCTCTGCAGTTCCAGTGGTGCTGAAAGTCTGAAGGATTCCTGCACAGCCGCCTGTCTTCAGTCTCTGTTGGAAGCTTAGAGAAGATAGCTCTGACCTCAGCAAAAGAACACATCCGCAATAAAGGCAGCAGCAACTGAGTAGGTGATCTTCCCACAGGGTGATCTACTCACCAGGGAGAGAGGAAGGCAGTGAAGCAAAAAAGCAAAGGCTTCTGCTCAGGACATCCTTTGTCTGGCTGCCAAGTAAGGTGTTACTTAGATTTAGGTTGTTTTTATGTAACCTGATCAAGGAAACCCTTTTCAGGTGTGCCCAGTAGCTTACCTCTCAGTTAATTCCAGATCAGTTGACAACCAAGAATAACTGTCACAAGTCCTTTCAACCCAACACTCAATCATATCTCCATACATCATGTTGAATTTCCAGGTGAAAACAGTAACAAGTCATAATTCTGTCTGTTGTAATGTGACTATCCACTTACAACCACCAATACACTGTTTCCCCTGAAAGTAGGTTAAAAAAAAAAAGATCCCTGAAGGAATGCCTAGTCTTTTAGTGTCCCTTAACTTTGATACTTACTGTAGATTTGTAGCATGTAATTACTGGTACTACCTTAATCACCATTATAATGCATGATGCAGAAATAGAGGAAAGAAAGCACAGATATTTGCTTAATGTGTGTGTATATATGCACAAGCATATTCTTAACAAAATATGACCAGCGTTCATAACAGTCCTTGTTTCTGTAACTGGTCACATGGCCTTAGCGGGTGTTTGTAACTTCTTTCTCCTATTCATTCTGTATTTCCTCCACCTAAGCAAGTACCGCCTCAGATCTTTGTTCTTTACCTAGAGGTGTGAAACACACCTTTATTCCTGAAACCTCTGGGCCATTTCTCATCCTGTCTGGATTGGGCTGTAGCTTCTCATTGATCTTAATCACAGGATATGATGACACCAAGAGATACCCAGGACCTGGTGTACTCCAGATATACTCTTCCTTATCTCCATTGTGGAAAAGCAGTCTAATTTCCTTGAGATAGTCTAGGTCAATCACTTCTCATAATACAGTAATTTCTTTCTTAGTCTGCTGACTCAAGGTAATGAGGGTCCTGAGGGGCCACAGGGAAGTCTTAACTTCTGTATCTATGGAATGTTAGTTATGCCTCCTGACAGAAGCAGCTCTCTATCTGGATCCAGAACTTCTAGGCCAGGAGAGCAAAGTCACAGGAACAGGGAGCAAAGCGTTTCTAGTGGGCTGCTAGAAGTGATGGTGAGTGGCTCCATTCTCACTCCTCCCTGTGATTCCTGGACACCTGAACACTGGCTGTAAGATAAATAGTGCAGTATATTGGCTACCTACAACTTTCTGGAGAACTCTGCTGCAGCCCTCCAGGCTAGTGCCACCTAGTAGACACCATAACTGTGCCTTTAAAAGGCACATTATGTCAAGTTACTTCAGAATGATGGGAGACATGGTGAGACCAGAGAATTCTGTGTGTGTATGAGCTCACTGCTGTACTTCTTTTTACTGCAAAGTGAGTTCCCTGGTTCAAAGTAGTGCTGCGTGGACTATCATGATGGTGGATAAGGGCTTCTATCAGTCTACAGATAGACTATTATGATGGTGGATAATAGCTTCTGTCAGTCCACAGATGGACTATCATGATGGTGGATAAGGCCTTCTATCAGTCCACGGATGGACTATCATGATGGTGGATAAGGGCTTCTGTCAGTCCACGGATAGACTATTATGATAGTGGATAATAGCTTCTGTCAGTCTATGGATAGAATATCATGATGGTGGATAAGGGCTTCTGTCAGTCCACGGATGGACTAGCATGATGATGGATAAAGCCTTCTATCAGTGCATTGATGGATTATCATGATAATGGTGGATAAGGCTTTCTATCAGTCCATAGATGGACTATCATGCTGGTGGATAAGGCCTTCTGTCAGTCCATGGATGGAATATCATGATGGTGAATAAGGCCTTCTATCCGTGAGAAGTGTTACATACAGGAAGGGCAAATCTATAGCCAAAATATGTTTGGTTAAGAGTAATATGCTACTCTTTCCATAATGGTCTAGTGTAGTCATTCTGCCACCAGGTTGCTACCTAGTCACCTGGGGGATGCTGCCATATATATGTGGCCTCAGTGCTCTTTACTATTGGTAGATCTAGCATTCAGCAGCAGCTGTAGCCAGGTCAGCTTTGGGGAGTAGAAGTCCATGTTGTTGAGCTCATGCATAAGCTTCGTGATTACAACTATGGGTCCACTGGGATAGCCAGAGAAAGAGGCTGCCTCTCCAGAGTATAGGTCGTCCTGTCAACTTGATTATTGAACACCTCACCTTTTGATGGGCATTTATATGGGGCACCAAACTGTCTTTGCATCCTTTGCCAATTTGGTGAGCTCTATCCTTATACCTTTTCCCCAAATGTCTTTCTTACCAATTTTCAATCATACTCCTTCCAAGTCCCCAACCGTCCAGGCAGACCATTGACTACAGCCCGTGAATCAGTATGTAACCACATATTTGACCATCCTAATTTCAAGCATCTGCATTACCAACATAACTCAACTTGTACCGTAAATTTTTAAGTTATAAAGATGTTGTAGTACTTTGGACATTAATTCTATATTTTGTCTTTGATGTTGGCCTCTTGAGAAAAAGCCCCTTTTTTAAGTCCAAGATTATGAGTATTTTTTCCTCATCCACAAGGTGGCAGCAAATGTCAGATTTTCTTTTTCTTTTATTTTTTTGTACCTACATAGTCACTATGTATATCCCCCTTTCAGATTAGAAATTCTATTTGAAGCTAATGTATTAGTGAAATTTATGGATCTAGTACCCTAGGCATATTAGACTGTTGACTGAAATATCCACTTTCTTTGAACTAATTCCTTTGGTATCAGGAATCCTATAACTTTAAATAACACATATCAGTGCTCCTTTTTATTTAAAAGAAAAATCAGCTTTGGGTTTTGAGAGAAGAGTTTAGGAGAGACTGATGCTGAGAACAGTCGCCCTGGAAAAGAAGGATGCAGTAGTACTCACTGGGCTCCACACTTAGGAGGCACTTAGGACACTGTGGATGAGCAGGCTTCACTGCACAGCAAGATTCGGGGGTAGAGAACTGCAGACAAACGGCTAGCAGGTCTGCTTTTAGAAGGAAGAGCTTGTACCTTTGTTTATTAATTCATTTAATGTTTGAGTAGTATTGTACTTTGGTTTAACCATTTTTAATATACCTGTAAAGAATAACAGTCTACATCCCCACATTTTTATGGGATGTGTGCTCGCGAAGTACCGGGACTATAGTGGTGAATCTTACGCCTTACGTTTTATTAAGCAGAGGCAACATAAAATCTGTAGCGATGTTATTACTTCTGGGAGCTAGAATCTTTTAAAGCATAAAGGTGGTCTCCATTATTCAAAACTTTTTATAGCCGTGATGTCTGCTCTTCCAGAAGACACAGGTTTGATTCCCAGCACCCACACGGCAGCTCACACCTGTCTGTAACTCCAATTCAAGAGATCTGATGCCCTTTTTGGCCTCCATGGGCACCAGGCACCCACACTGTGCACAGGCATTCCAGGCAAAACACCACACACACAAATAAATAAAATTTTAAAACCTTTTATTATAAAATACAAAACAGTACATTTCATAATTTGAGTCATAGAGTTTTGTTATACATGGGTGCCCTAAATTGATACAGATTTCTTAATTTAATTTATTGGCTCTTTTTTATTAGAATGAATTTATTTCTTTTTTTTAGCTTAATTATGTGTTGCTTCTGTTAGTTGATTTTTTAAAGTCTATTTCCACCCAATGATCTGTATATTCCACAGAACTGTACATATTTCATTGTTGAACAAGTAAGAATTATGCTTTATGTCTTATGCATTTTCCTAGGCCGAAAGGAGACTGTAGGCTTTAGATGGGGCTGGTAGCTGAAGCCCCAGACTGAAGCCTTGACGGTAAAGAGTACAGGCACAGTCCCTTCTGCCAAAGAGTTCTCTTCATTCACAGGGACAGACAGTAATCAGAAATGCAAATACTGAGCTACAAAACTTGATGAGGAGTTGAGTAATGTCATTGCATGTAGCAGAGGGGGCTGGTGCAAATGAGGCGCCAGGCATGGCGACCATGACATAGTAGCATGTTGTCACATACCTACGCTACAAAGCTTGGTGGGGGTGGACTGGTAGCAAAACAGGAATGGGGGATGGGTGAGGAGGAGTTTGCTGGTCCCCAGAATAGATTTGAGTTTGAAAATGGTATCTCTAGGAATATTTTAGAGATACTGAATTTGGGGAATTAATTAGAAGCCTATTGTTATCCAGAAAAAAAGAATAATGCTGCCAATAAATATAAATAGAAAATAATTAAAAGCATGTAAAATTGGAGCAGTTAAAATTGACAAGATACTGACTGGGTAGGCGTGGGACACTTAGGAACAAGGAGGTATAAAATAAATTACTTCGTTTTTGTTTTCTTGGTTGCACAAAAGTGGCCCCTTCATCACTACACAGAATGGAAGCTACTTAGTTTCCTACTTTAGAGTTTCAGGATGTGTTTATTCACAGCGTGACAGAGACACCACTAAAGTTAGCTGGGTTTGAAACTTCAAGGAGAAGTTGAGACCAGAGGTACAAGTGTAGGCTGTATTGGATTGTTGGTCATTCCTGGGATTGTTGAAAAAGAGAGTGTAGAATCAAGAGGAAAAGCAGTTTAGACTCAGGCTCAAGAAGGTCCCAACCCCAGGAATAGAGAAGCCTACTGACAGGTCCAAAGGGGAGGAGCTGTAGAGATAGGAAAAAGCCAGCAGGGGAAGGTCTTAGAGAGCTCAGGGGAAGAGAGTCCTGGAGTATTTCATGCTGGGTGCTTGAAATGAGTGGGATTAGAAGATAGGGAAACTAAGCGGTGAGCATTCTGCATTGGTGTTTCTAAAATGTGCGTTTTTCTTTAATCCAGGCACATCCACCATCCTTCTCACTAGGATAAACTGTGCAGATTGGTCTGATGTATGTACGAAGCAAAATGTCACTGCATTTCCTGCGGTAAAGTTGTATAAAGAAGGCGAGAGCCCAGTGTCTTATGCGGGCATGTTGGGAACTAAAGATCTCCTGAAGTTCATTCAGATGTGAGTATTCAGCTTCACTCGAAGAGGTCTAGGTTTGAGGTCTGCAGCTCAACTCCACTCTTTGCTGATACGCTTCTAATAGGTTCAGGAGGATACTAGACTGAGATCCCCGGGTAGATACTGACAGTGAAACTGCCTGCATGGTCTATCACTTTCATCTAAAAGGACAGATTTAAAAAAAAAAAAAAAAGAATAATTTTGTCCAGTCGTCTGTGTAATGTACTATTTGTTATGTTCTATGTTTTTTACAAACTGCAAAAAACTTTAAAAATTAATTTTGAATATAGTTATATATTTATCCAGAAACAGGATTTCCTGCCCAGTGAATATAGCATCCATTCAAGAAGCAGAAAAATACTTACATGGGGAGTTATATAAAGACCTGTTCAGTTTTACAAGTGTGTCAGTACTGGGGCTCTTTAGTCCAGCCATGATATCAGGTAAGTTCCCTTTTTTATTTTATTTCATGTTTGCTTCACGTGTGGTAAATACATGTGTACGTGAGTGTGTGTTTGCAATTTTAAGGTCCATCTCTCTCTCCAGATTATATGTAAAAAGACAGCTGTGTCCATTTTCCGTGCTTGAGCAGTACATTAAAAATACCAACTATTTACTTGGACATTCTATATGATTAGAGTGCTATACGTTTTTAAAATGTATTTTTATTTTATATGCATTGGTGTTTTGCCTGAGTGTGTGTTTGTGTGAGGGTGTCAAAAGTCCTGGAATTCGGGGAGCTGGAGAGATGGCTCAGTGGTTAAGAACACTGACTGCTCTTTCAGAGGACCCAGGTTCAATTCCCAGCACCCACATGGCAGCCCAAAACTGTCTGAAGATCCAGTTGCAGGGGATCTGACACCTTCACACCAATGCATATAAAATAAAGTTAAATAGAGCATAAAAATATTTAAAAAAAAAAAAGTCCTGGAATTCGAATTGTGTCAAGTGTGAGATGCCAGCCATGTGGGTGCTGGGAATTGAAACCAGGTTCTTTGGGAGAGTAATCAGTGCTTTTAACTGCTGAGCCATTTCTCTAGCCTCTGAGTGCTATAAACCTTAAAAATGACATTTAGAGAGTTTTTTTCTTTTTTTAGAAAACTATGGTTCTATCATATCAATAGATATCTCTTTAGTAACAGTGTCACAAAACAGATTTGTTTTAGCTGTTACATATCTGCACTTCAGTATTAATCTTGGTAATTTAATGGTAATGAAGTTCTGCCATCTGTAAAGCCTGTGTTAGCTGCCTAGCACACATAATGTTAGTTTCATGAGCTTATCTTGACTGTGTCTGTGCAGCAAAAGAACATTTCAGGGAAGTGGGAAAGCAGCTGAGAGGCTCTGTCGTCACAGGAGTTTATTCTGAGGATGACGTTTGGATACTGTAAGTTTATTGCTCTTCTACTTCTGGGGCAGATGAAATGATGCAATAGAATGTGCCACTTCACAGTTCATATGGGGATTAAGAAGACTCTTAAGTTAATTTTCAGCCAATGTGCAAGGTGACAGGTGTCTGGAATTTCATTTACACTTAGCCTGGTCTCCCATCTTCATGCCCCCTCTGCTTCTGTCTGTACCCCAGTATTCTAAATTTTTAATTTTCTTCCAGGAAGGTGTCTGGGAAGTGCATGCTGTTAAGTTCTCTAAAAACCCCTTTGAAGTGCTTGTAAGAGTTATCTTGGACACATACTTATTTTGAAGCATCCACAGAAGTGATTATACTTATTTTTGCTCCTATAAAAGTTTTCACTTTTGTGTCCTGATATTTGTGCTTTAAGTTGTCTTTGGAATCTTTATAGTGTTGAGAATTTTACTTTTTGATGATTGTTTTTATTTGCCACCAAAGAATATATAAAATTATATTAAAACTTCAGTTGTTCAACCAGTGGATGGGATTGCTGTGGGTTACCAAGATGCTTTATTGGTATATTGCTATAGAATGGAGGCCTATATTGCACATGTGGACACTTGTGTTAACACACATCATATTCATGTGGACAATTCATTTTTTGGTACAAGTGAACTTATTAGACATTAGTAGTTTGTGCTTTTGATTTTTCTGGCTACAGTGTTGCTAATTCTGATGTTGGAGCGCAAATGTTTCATTTTGAACACTTCTCAATAAGGAAACCTTAGATCATTTTGTGAAATTAGTAATTTTCTATAGAAAGTATTACTGAACCAGGAAATAGGAGACCTATCTATCTGATAAACTATAGCCACCTAGTATTTTCTGTTGTTAATTTGCATCCAAGATATAAAGAACTGGGACAATGCCGTTTTCAGAGTGTGTGGTTTATAGCCAGCTAGCTCATCAACTTGGTGTCCCCTCTGGGTGATCTGTAGTAGGGTCTTCGCCAACCTTTATGGTATAGTAGTGTCTATACTTTGTTCTCATACACACTTACTGGCAATGACACACAACACAATTTTCTCTTGATTTAGAGGATTTGGATTTTACCAGATTTAGTAGCAAAAGTGGGTTCTTCACACACTGTCTAGAGCACCTCAGGAGTTCATTGCCTGCTGGTCTTTGCTCTCTGAACCCCATTCAGATCTAAGACAGGTGGCAGAGACTACTTCTAGAAATGCTCAGACTATTAAATGAAGATAGATAAGGCACTGACTGTAGTACCTGGCAGACTGTAGCCTTGCCATTGGTGCCCTGCTTCCTCAGGCCTGTGACGAGCAGTCCAGAAGGTGGAGAGCCACGCACCATGTTCCAGGTTCTACTCACACATTTTCTTGAGGGTGAGTTGTAGAGAAGAGAGCTTTAGATTATTGTCATTTCCTTTTAAAAGAGATTGTTAAGACTCCTGAATTTTCTCAGATAACCTCACATATCAATTTGTCTGGAAACAGATTAAATTCTACTTAGCACTAGGGTTTTTTAAAGTTTTAAACTTTAGTTGTTTGAGACAGCGTCTCATTGTATAGTCTGGGCTGGCTTCAAACTCGTGATCCCTTTTCCTCTGTTCTCACAGCGAACACTGTAGCTTATACCATCTCACTAGCTAGCAGTGAGGCTTCCCTGTGCTGGGCTGGTTCTTCATGTTTTTGGTGACTTGATATGTTTTGGTTGTGAATTTTCATAGTATATTTCTCCATAGGTCAAATAAATATGGTGCACCTCTCCCAGCCATGCTGCTGGCCAGACCCAGAGAAGGCAGAATAGAGAGTGTCCCATTAGCCAGCACCTCAATGCAAGACATGGCTCAGATCCTAGCAAATGCACCACTGGAAGCATTTGTGAGTATATCGTTTAGAATAAGAAAGTTCTTTGAAGTAAAATCCACATTGATAAATAGTAATATATTAGCATACACGTTTTCAGCTTTTGGAGGCACTGGGGTGTCATGTTCTGTGGGTGAATACTGTTTGGTTTGATTTTGCTGTTCATTGATTATGTACACAGCTTTTCGTGTTTGCTGCTAAAAGTTTACATGGCTTTCTGGGGCCGAAGTATCCAATGTAGTGTGAACCTTGTCCTAATGCAGATGGTCTAGAGATGCATACTTTCTGGTTGCAAATTCCTCTGAGTTTTATTGGCTCTGGGGTGCTTTTGCTGCTCCCAGTTTCTTATGTGTGAGGTGCAGACTCTCTAAGGGTTCCACTGAATGGCAGAGGAATGCCACTTTGTAGAGGGCGTCTGGCAGATGTTCAGCAAGTATCAGCTACTGTTACAATCTGTACAGCTTTAAAATGCCAGAAGACTACTGAGGTGCTCCTGTGTGCTCCCATGGTTACACTTGCCGCTTGCCTTCCCTACACTTGATGTCCTTCAGCTCCCTGATGCCCCGCATGTAGCCTTAGCAGCTCTCTGCCTGTTCTTTACTATCTCTCAGTTCCCCCACCGTGTCTTTTTGACAGGTAGGCTTCCTTACAGTCTAACCTGAAAAGCACTCTAGGATCACAGCAGTTTCCATACCTTTCTCTTCTAATGTATAAACTCTGTGTCGGCAGGAAAGTTCCTTAAGAAGCACCTAGCATCATGTGTCAAGATTCTTAGTTTTTAGTAAATGAGTTGAGTGGAAGTCATCATCCTCATCTCATGTTTCTGGGGCTCAGTGAGATCTGTCAGCGTTTAGGAGGGGAATGTGTCACGTGTAAAAGATAGAGAGTAGTTAGCACAGAAAACCGGCCTAGGGGATTTGAAAAACAGACCTAGTGTTTAGCTTGTGGTATAGGAAAATGTAGGATGATGATTTTAAATATGAAGAGAAAGAGTGGAAGAGAAATGATTGGCAGAGGGAAGGTAATTTGAGAACTAAATAGGGAAGGTCATATGTCAGCTTGATGTTTGACAAAGGTCATTGGCATCATCTAAAATGTCAGGTTGTTAATGAGAGTTTCTGGTGACCCAGTGAAGGAGGAAGCTGGTAGGCAGTATGCCTCTTTGGGGTTAAGCTTCCTGTCCCACCGAGCCTCTGGGAACATTTCCATCTGATGGGAGATGATGTTTCTCTCTCACAGGTGCCTCCAGGGGGCTCAGTGCTACTGCGCTGGATTCACGTTAGGATGCTCTCCTAAAACAGTACTAAAAATGGTAGAAGATTAGGTTACTTTCTCCTTACTAAATTCCTCTCTGTCTCTTTAAACTCAGAAGAGGTCAGATTGGCTTTGGGGTTTGTTTTAGGACAACCTTAATTATTTTAATCTTCCAAAATATTCCTGTTTGGAAAAAGTAAGCTAATCATGGATAGTGGGGAAAAGGTTATAATTTCAATATTTAGCTTATGTTTTTTCTTTGTAAATTCTGATTGTTTAATTTTGGCATAATAGTGATTTTTTATAATTTAGCCCTTCAAAGTATACTTTTGTGTTTAATAAGCCCCTGGATCACGCAAGGTAGTGGCCTTTGCTTCATATACCTGGCTGCTGTTGCATTGGAGGCAATGAGTTCCATCCTGGGGATTGTAGGATCTAGGCTGCAAATCAAGTTTCAGGGTTTCGGTCCACTATCATCATGGTGGAGAGCATGGTGGCATGCAGGCAGACCTGATGCTGGGACTGAGAGACCTTACATCCTTATATAGACAGGCATCAAGAAGTCCACTTTAGCTTATATTTTAACCAGAAAACTTTACTAGAGGGGAGTATGAAAGAGTTTTGCTTATTAAGTGTGTATTAGCTAATCTGGATTCAGAGTTCAGCATGAATTATTATAGAGTCATCAGCTAATGTGTCCTCTTTTTGGTTCTTTAGACAGGGTTTCTCTGTGTAGCCCTTGCTGTCCTGGAACTCACTTTGCAGAGCAGGCTGGCCTTGAACTCACAGAGATCCACCTGCCTCTGCCTCCTGAGTGCTGGGATTAAAGGCGTGCACCACTGCTTAATATGTTCTTAAAGCTAATATGTTCTTAAGGTCTGTTAGTAATTTTATTTTGACTATAATTCATTACCATGAGGTAGGGTTGAATTTGAAGTGCTTAAGATTTACTTACTGTGGTCAAATCTCTGAATGAAGATGTTTGAATTACATTTTATGAGCTGAAATCACATGAATGATTTGAGTATTGTTTATACTTTTTGTTGTATCATGCCCATGATTTTTGTTTGAGGTATTTCAGATGCTTCTTCTTTAACAGCCAGAAATCATTGTGGAAAATCTTCCCGCATATTTAAGACTTCAGAGACCATTGCTTATCTTGTTCAGTGATGGCAGCATAAACCCTCAGTATAGGAACATAGTTCTGGCACTGATGAGACAGAAGCAGTTGGATTCGTTTACCCCTTGCTGGCTAAATTTGTAAGTATGTGTTGAATGCTTTTGTTTTGACTTATGAGGTAAAGGGTGGGGGAAGCCTGTGGTGTGGTGCATACCTGTAATCACAGCACTCGTGAGTTCAAGGCCACTCTGAGCTACACAAAGGAAATACAATTATTACATTTTCATTAGGAAATGAAATCCCATAACCTTTGTAGTTAACATGGGACCAAATTTATTATCACGATATTTTCATAACTAACTCTCTCAGGTAAGTTTCAAGATGACCTTGTTTAGACTTGACTGTTATTCTAAAATAGTTGTAGGCAATAATTTTCTGATTTTAAAAGTAGTTGATGTCCATTGAAAACAATGGCAAATAAGAAAGTAAGCTTTGTGATATTTACAAACTTCAGTTTGCTTAAAGTCACCCCAGAGCATTAGAGAAGGGTTTCACTCAGTGTATCTTTAAGTGGTATTTTTTTGGCATGTTTTCTAGAATGACTGGTGTTTTATTAAATGTCTGTGAATACAGTTCACATGTGCACACATAACCCTTGAGATATGCTTTCTTTTTTAAAAAAAACTTGCTTGAAAAGCAGCAAAAATGTGGCAATGCACATTTTTGTTGTGAAGTCTTGTTAGCATCTCACTCTTGAGGCAAGTTTGCCTAGGTAACTACCATTGTAGATACCTAAAGTGTTTTGTGTCTTGTGAAACCTCCTGCATTAGGAAGCTGGACATGTTTAATGTGTAGTTCCTTATAGGAACATAGCTATTCTCTTAGCTCTTTAATATGCAATTAACCTCCCCCCCCCCATTCTCGAGGAAAGGCACATTTTTAAGGGAAAGAAGTCTTTGTAAAAGGGAGCATCCTGTTATAGTTATGTAACAGGTTAGTTTGGGGCTGACACACAATGAAGTACTTAGCTAAACTTCTAAGGGGAACCTATTGATTGTCTCAAGCCTGTGTTGATAAGGCTTTGGGTTCTTGAGTTTCATGGAAAGTCACTGGCTGTCTTTTTTTCCTCCCATGATAGACTGCTCCATGTCACAAAAATTTTTAAAGGAATTTGATTACTAATTTAATAGTAGACTTCTTGGTCTTGGAGAAGTCTTTTCATAAGCTTACGGACAGGCTAATAATTGAAGTTTACTGTTCTATAAATGATTATTATTATCTCTTTGTCACAGAAGGAGTAATTGACATATTCAATCCTCCCTTCTTGCAGAAAGAATACTCCAGTGGGGGGGGGAATCTTGAAGGCATATTTTGGTTCTCTTCCCCCACTTCCTCAGCTGCTTTTGGTGAATCTGCATTCAGGAGGCCAAGTGTATGCATTTCCTTCACCTCAGTCTATAACGGAACAAAACCTGAGATTGTGGCTTAGAAAATTGGGAGCGGGCCTAGAAAATCCTATCAGTAAGTTTTCTGTTTTCTTCAGTACACTTAATTCTGTATTTTTTTAATGTTAATCATAGCTAATAAAGATGAGAATGAGTAAGGCTGTAATGTTTATATTGCTGTATAAGTATTAATGTATTGGTTGCACACCATACTGAACAGACTGTGAACAGTCTGAGTCCCTGGGTCCCGAATGGAGACCTCTGCCTCACCTACTAAGGCCTCTTTCTTTAGGATACTGCTTTGTTAAGTCCATGTTGCTTGTGTACATTGCCAGTGTCTTCAGACATGTGAATCTCGTAATAAATCTACTTTAAAAAATTGTCACATTGGGAGCGCTGACCTGCCAAAGTCAAATCCATCGTGCCACCTTCATAGTCTTTAAATTGCAGGTGTCACAGGACAGTCTGCATACAGTCTTTTCTTATGCATGAAATTTGTTGTTTTTCTATAACTGTAAGAAAATACCTAGTTTTATAGGAAGTGAGTTGCTGTAGAATATTATTTTCAGGTGTGTTGCTTTTGTTTATGCTTCATTTAACTCTGTGAAGCTGTGATTCTTTGCCTGTCTATAACACCTGATGGCCTAATAAAGAGCTGAACGGCCACTAGTGAGGCAGGAGAAAGAACAGGCGGGGCTGGTAGGCAGAGAGGGTAAATAGAAGTAGAAATCTGGGAGGAAAAAAAAGGAGAGGAGCAAGAGAGATCAAGGAGGGCGTTAGTGGTCAGCTATACATCCAGCCACAGTAAGAGTAAAAGTAAGGTATACAGAAATAGAGAAAGATAAAAAGATGTCTTTTGCAAAAGATAGATGGGATAATTTAAGGTAAGATGACATTAGATGTCTTCCTCAACTGTCTGCACCTCATTAATTGAGATAGGATCTCTCCCTGATCCCAAAGCTTACTATTCTGACTAGTCTAGCCAGCTTGTCTTAGGATTCCCTTTCTGTGCCTTCTAAGTGTTGGGATTATAGGCATCCACCAGGTCTGTCCAACTTTGATGTTAGTCCAAAGAGACTCTGACCATTGAGCACTCTACCCAGCCCCAGGGACAATTTTAAAAACTGACAAATGGAAATCTCTATATTTATGATGTGCATGATATTTTAATATATACATGTACTGGAGAATGATTAAATCAAGCCAATTAACATTTGTTACCTTACACAATTATTATTTTTTTTGTGATGAGATCATTTAAAATCTACTGTTTGGACTGGAGAGATGGCTTACCAGGTAAAACAGGCTTGAGGACAGGTGTCTGGACCCACAACACTTTCATAAACGCTGGGCCTGCCTGAAACACCTGCACACAGGAGGCAGAGGCGGGGGATCCCTACAGCAAACTGGCTAACTAGGCTAACTGCCAGCTCTGCGCTCACGCAGGAGACTCTGCCTCAAAATTTAAGGTGGGCAAAGATTCAGGTCAACCTGTGGTCTCCATGTGTACACACATTTGCACATGTACCTGCATACACAGACAGACACACACACATGTAAACACACAGTCTTGCACAGTGCATGCATATATACATGCAGAAAAGAGAAAAGTCTACTGTTAGGAATTTTCATGTTTGTGTAATGTACTGTTGACTGCAGTCCCTGCTCTACAGCAGAGTTCCAGAAAGCTTTCTCTGTCTAACAAGTTTTGTGCTCTTTGGCCAGCATCTCCCCATTTGTAGTTTCCCTCCCTCCATAACTTGGGATTTCTTTACATCTGTGAGTTTGGTTATTTTACATTTCTTCTTTTAAGTGAGGTCATGTATTTGTCTTTCTATACCCAGAGTAATTTGCTGAGTGTCATGCCCTTAAGGTCATCCACATTGTCACAAGTTACATGATTTCCTTCTACTTAAAGAACGAATAGCATTTCATTTTGTGCACTCTTCTTCATTTGTTTTTTGACAGACACAGGTCATATTCAAATCATGGCAATTAATGAATAATACTATAGTGAACATAAGAATATAGATATCTCGACATTTTAGCATCCACAAACTATTCTAGCTTTAATATTTAACCTGTAGTATTAATGAATAATATCATATGTGGGTGTTTATGTCTGACCATCTCTTGGGGTGCAGATTTCAAAGAATAACCATGCTGTAGAATGGATAAGCAGTCATTGCTGTTTATGGGCAGGTAATATTTCACCATGTGAAGACACTACATTGTGTGTACTGTTCATCATGTGATAGATCGCCTTCAATTTTTGGCTCTTATGAATAATTCTACTGTGAAATAATTTACATGTCCCTGTCTACATTCTACCACACTGTTCATTTACATGGCCCTGTCTGGTCACACCACACCATTACTGTTGATTTGGAGTAGGGTTTTGTTTTTTTTTTTTTTTTTTGAGACATTAATTCCTCTGACTTCATTCTTTATTTTCTAAATTGTTTTGGCTATCCTCTATCCCTATAGGATGATAACTTGTTGATACTTTTGTTTGATTTCTAAGGTAGTTCACTGACTGTAATATTTTCTTAGAAACAGAGAAATTTGCCTATTTAGCATCAGTCATAATGTGGAAGGAGGCTCCTGGTCCTTTCTTACATAGGAGGGTGCACCCTTTTATCTGTAGCCCCTGCACTCTGCAGATGCTTGTCCTGTCTGCATCGCCTCCTTACAGGGTCACGTGAGTGCTGCCGCTTTGCTCTCAGGTGCAAGCCCTATGGACTCTTCAAGTAGAGATGGGTGCATCTCAGATAGTTCTGCTTTAGGAAGGATGGATGTTCAAAACACAGCCTTGAGCTCATGACCCAGTTTCCATGCTTTCTGTTGTTTTTTTCCTTTGCTACTTGGAGAGATGCACAGTTCCTACTCTGATACATCACAAAGTTAATTAACAGTCAAGTAAGGCTATTTTTAGAAACTTTGTAATGTATAAACTTGAAGGTATTATCTGTGTTCAGGTCTTCCTGGCAAGGACATCCTGAGAGCTTTTACCGCAACTGTTGTCAGTTTTCTCTGAAAGAATCAGTCCTTTTGAGAGTTTTCTGAGAGTCTGGCATCCTTTCTGTACAGTTTTTAATGTCTTTACCACCTCACCTAGTGAGGGTCTCCATCATTTCTGTGTCTCTGTGTTTCTGTTAAGTTACTCCTGCAGCATATAAGACGTAATGGCACACCCCTGTGTGTTGTGTCCCTCTGTGCTAGCCAGACTGGACACTCTTTGTTAGACAGGCCTTTGCTAACCATGCTTTGAGAGAGGCTCAGAAGCTGGGCTGGTTGTAGTAACATTCTGGGAATACAGTGAATATTCCCAGAGTGACCTGCACCACAGGTGAGATTGTGGCCACTGGCCATTTTTTACTGAGAGTTGGTATGTAAGTTTGTCCAGTCCCTCAGTCTTTCTTTGCCCTGGTATGGGAAGATTATTATGCTTTTGTTACTTTAAGGATTGAGCAAATAATGTCTGGCATATAATAAAGGGTCAAGAAGTGTTTACTACTGTTCTTTATGTCCTTAATAACTTCATGAATAATGTATCAGCCATATGATCAGAGAACAGATTTGTTTTCAATTGAAAACATTAAGACCTTTCTATATTTCCCTGAGCAATAATTAGCAGCATTGAAATGTCAAGCTCCGGGGGTTAGCTTTTAAAAATTGCATGTTTCTTCCCCTTAAACTAGACTTTCCTCAAAGACACTTCAATAAACATTTAAGTGATATTGCCACTGCACATAGTCACTCTTACCCTTGCCTGTTCATTTCATCCAGATAAGAATTTCATCCATTGGTCACTTTGTAATCTAGTAATTTGTCAGTACCTGTTTGAAGCCTGAATTCCACAAGTAACATAATTTAATGTCCCCGTGATGTGCCGAGATTGGTATAGTTGAGTAGGAGAAATTGTCTGTCAGCAGATGTAGACGCACAGCATATGAGCAGTGCAGATTTTTGTTTGAGTTTTCCAGCTCTAATAAACTGTTCTTCATTTGTACTCTGAACCTTATGAAGGTGATTGCTTGATTTGTAGGAGATGTGCAAGTTTGTATTTTTAGAGCATTTATTATTTTTGCATGTAACATCATATAAATTCTCCTACCACAACTTATTTCTAAAAGCTTTCTTCACGTGCTTACTTAGTTTCTTTCTCAAAAATATTTTAATTAGGCCAACTAAATTTTTAGTAAACTTTTTGGTTAGCTAATGTAGCTCATAAGTTATCAACTTTAATCAGTTTTCCCCGTCTAAGGATCAGCATTTTATTATTTAAAATATTTCATACAATGTATTTTGATCATACTTTTCCTTCAACTTTTCCCAGATTCTTTTAACTCCCTACCCACCTAACTTCATATTAATTTTCTCTCCTAAAAAGTAAAAGACAAACCCATTCATCCAACCAACAAAAAACAATAACAACAAAATGAAAATCAAAACAGACTAAAAAGAACAAAACCAAAATAACCAGTCAAACAAAAAATACCAAAACAACCACTCACTAAACAAATAACAACAACGGAAGACCGTGGAGTCCCCTTTGTTTTGGACAGCTACTCCTGGGCCTGGGCCTGCTGTGGAGCGTGGTGGGTAGAACTCTGATCTTCGCTCCCCCAGGAGGATTCTATTGCAGATAGCTTCTGGACTAGGGATGAACCTTTGTGTCCACACCCCTCTCTCTGCTGGGGTTTTGCCTGGTTTAGACTCGCGTGGGCCTCTGCGTGCTGTCCCAGTCTCTGACCTCACCTGTGTATCAGGCCTGTTGTGTCTGGAAGATGCTATTTCCTTGATTCATCCCTCCCCTCTGGCTCTTACAGTCTGACTCCTTCTGCATAGGTTAGTGAGCATCAAGGGGAGGAAGTTGATAAAGACATCCCTTTTAGGGCTAAGTTCTCCAAAGTCTGTCATTCTCGACACAGTATGACCAGTATTTGAAAACAGTATGAAGATTCACTGCATGGCAGTCACCTAAGGGAAATTAACTAATCGCTGTGTATTTATAGTTCAGTTGACTCCATGGCACTTTAAAATTATTACTATCTATAATTAACTTTAAAAAAATGGACTTGTTTTCATAAAGTGTATGGAAAGGATGTTAACTTAAAAACAGAAAATGCTTCAAGATTAAGGCATTACTAGTATGAGCAACAATGTTAAATATATTCGAAGGTTTTTTTCTCTGGAATTAGTCATAGAAATAGTTACTTTTCAGAGCCAGCGAGATGGTTCACTTGGTGAAGTGCTTGCTGTGGAAGCCAACAGCCTGAGTTTGGTCTAAAAGAGCAGATCAGCTCTGTGGAACCTGCTCAGTCAGTGAGCTCTGGGTGCAGTAAATAAGATGGGAGTGATGGAGGAAGACACAGTGGACACCATGGCTTACTTCTGGCCTCCACGCCCCCCCCCCCCCCCCCCCCCCACGCAATCTTGTTAGGGTTTCTTTTGCTGTGATAAACACCATGGCCAAACACAGCTTAGGGAAGAAAGGGTTTCTATTACACTTCCACATTATAATCTGTCATTAAAGGAAGTTGGCAGGGTAGAAACCCAGAGGTAGGGCTGCCACTGAGGCCATGGAGGGCTAGCCACTAATTAAGAATATGCTCCATGGGCTTGCCTAAAGCCCAATCTTATGGAGGCATTCTCTTAATTGAGGTTCCCTCCTCTCAGGTGACTTTAGCTTGTGTCAGCCTGACATAAAACTAGCCAGAATGTAAACTGTTTAAAAATAGACTAAAAGGTCAGATGTGGTGGTGTACACCTTTAATCCCAGCACTTGGGAAGCAGAGGCAGGAACCAGAGTGAGCCAGAGTGTTCTACATATCAAGTTCCAGGGCAGCCAAAGCTGTACTGTGAGATCTCTGTCTCACAAAATAAGTAACATTAAGACAGGATGCTTTTTAGGACAAGACTGGAGTGGGTGATGTTTGTAATTTTAAGGGTTTAATCTACAATTTTAAGATGTTAGTGTTCTAAACGGATATGATGGATTGTATGTATGTATGATTTCTTATTTATTACTTTCTTGTGGAATATTCACCAGAGAAGACTGCCCAGACGTGGATTTAAACTAGTAGAAAGTCTTTATTAGCTGACTAGTGACTACACTGGGTAGGATCCCAGTGCAGCACTGAGCCTTTCTCAGGGTGAGCTTTTAAGGACACAAACCATGTTCTGGGTTGACATACTTCAGTTAACAAGAACAATTAGCCCGAAGTGGAACTACAGAAGTCAAAAAGCAAGGTTATTACATTTAGAGACTTTCCAGAACTATGGACTTGGATGGATTAGTCCTTTGTTTTAGTTTTGGCAGGTGGTGCTGTCTACATACTGAGTTTTACAGCCTTATTTCCGTCATAGAGTCAGTTGTGCTGAGGTCTTGGGGCCCTAAGTCTGGGGTCCTGTTACAACTATGTGTAAGTGTGTACACAGGTACACATCTGAGTATGTATGTGCACTATGTGTGTGCAACAGTCCTCAGAAACCAGAAGAGGGGTTGGGTTCCCCAGAACTGGAGCTACTAGCAGCTGTGAATCACCCAGTGTGGGCACTGGGAACTGGAACCCAGGCCATCTACAAGAGCAGTAAGTGAACTTAACCATTGAGTCATCTCCCCACTCCTGAGTGACTGCTTTATAAGTGACTGCTTTCTTCTGCTCAATTTTATAAATTGTTTTTTTTCTTAAAGCTTTTTTCTGGGGGGGGGGTGATTTTTGGAGATAGGGTTTCTCTGTGAAACCCTGGCTGTCTTGGAACTCACTCTGTAGACCAAGTTGGTCTACAGCTCCCAGAGATCCGCCTGCCTCTGCCCCCCTGAGTGCTGGGGTTAAAGGTGTGCACTAACATGCCTGGCTCTTAAACTATAACTAGTTTTAATCATAGTACACTTCTCTTGCTGTGCTTTGTCTACATTGACACATAGATTGAAATTTGGTCAACATTTGGCCATATTGGAAGGTGGGTCCTAGTAAGTGGCGTTGGATTGTAAGGGGGAACCTTCATGAATAGTTAATGCCTTTCATTAGATTAGCTCCTCTAGGAATTGGACCCTCCCTTTTCTGCTTCCACAGTTAAATTAAAGCTTTATAATGTCCTCTCCAGATGCTGTCCCTGATGGAACTTCCCAGACTCTAGAACCATGAGCCCAAATAAACTTTTTTTTTGTAAATGATTCAAACTCAACTATTCTGTCAAAAAAAAAAAAAAAAACAACAGCAGCAGCAAAACAAAGTAAGACATGCACTAACTGCATGGCATCTGAAATTCGTCATATTGAGCCTCATTCTTGTCTATTCAATTCAGTCAGACTTTTACAATTTGACTTTGTTTCAGGAATTTTGGAATGTTCTAGCATGCTGACATTGTGTCCAACGCTAGCTATTTAGTCGAATCCCTGGAGTTGACACTGCACTTCCCACGTGGATTTGATGAGTGATGCTAATGAGGGCTTCCTACAAATATGCATTTCAAAATAAAGCACTTTGTAGCTATATTTATACAGTGATTTCATCTCTGTTAATCGTTGACACTCTGGTTGTTTCTTCCTTCCAGCAACTTTATCTGCTCAGGAATGGAAACCTCCTCTTCCAGCTTTTGATTTTCTAAGTATGATGGATGCTCCTATGTCTCAGCCTCCCACAAAGAAAGTTCTGGAGTGTATGAAAGAAAAGGGGGTGCAGGAGAGTGCTGAGCAGCCCCAGGGAGCTCCGTCGACAACCAGAAGAGGACCAGCTGAAGTGCTCAGAATAAAGCACTGGAACAAGAGTAACTGGCCGAGGGAAGCAGAGGAGTCTTCGCGGCACCACAAGGAGTTATAATCGGACCTCCTGACCCCTCTCTGTGGCTCAAGAAACTCAAGGTTCATTCTGTTAAGAATAATACTAACCCATGTCAAGTCTAGACAAGCGCCATTCAGTGGGTTGTGCTACAAATAACATACATAAAGTTTCTTAGTAGCTACACTTTAAAACCATAAAATGAGCAGGTAAAATGGATTTAAAATGTATTTCATCCGGTAAGTAAACTCAGATAGCTTTATATAAGAATGTTGAGAGATTTACTTTTTTCACATGAATTCTTCAAGATGCAGTGCGTTTTGTACTTAATGCCATTGCTCACTATAGAGAGCTATGTTTCGAGTGCTTACTTGTCCCAGCTGGTACATGACTGTTGTACTGGGCAACTCCTAGCAGACAAACACCAGGGTCGTTCTCCTAGTTCTAGCCGTGACGTGTATTTAAATCAGAACTGGGATGTAGCTCTACTGAATCACCATTGACTCTACAGTGAAATCATAGCTAGCAGTTGTATTTATTTTCTTGTAGTCATGCTAAAACCATTGCTTTTCAGTTCTGCTCATAGGGATATTTGTCAATGTGAAGAGACAGTTTTAGTATCATAACTTAGGGAGGTTGGGGTGCTCTTCAGCACTTTGCACTGGATAGCTTCCCCCATCAAAGAATTGTCTTTCCCATAGTGCCAGGAGTGCCAAGGCTTCATAATCCTGTATCATGTAGCACAGTGGATCCCAATATCTTCTTAATCTGCCCAGTTACTATGGTATATTAAAAATTAGTGGCTGTCTTAATGCTGATTATTAAAAATTAATTTCTTAAAGGTTTATTTATTTGTATTTTATGAGTACGAGTGGTTGGCCTGCATGCACATAAATGCCCTACATGCATGCCTGTTGCCCACAGAGGTCAGAAGAGGGCATTGGATCCCTGGGGACTGGAGTTATGGATAGTTGTGAGTTGCCATGTTGATACTGGGAACCAAACTGAGTTCCTCTTCAAGAACAGCCAGTGCTTTTACCTGCTGAACCATTTCTCCAGCCCCAATTTTTATACTTTCTAGAAGCAATAAAATTCCACAAAAGCTGGGCGGTGGTGGCGCACGCCTTTAATCCCAGCACTCGGGAGGCAGAGGCAGGTGGATTTCTGTGAGTTCTAGGCCAGCCTGGTCTACAAGAGCAAGTTCCAGAATAGGCTCCAAAAGCTACAAAGAAACCCTGTCTAGAAAAATTTTTAAAAAAAGTTTCCACAAAAGGATGTAGGATATATGTAAAATTGTGTGTGAATCTCTGTATTTATCCATAAAAATGCACTTTATTCTCTGTGTGCATCTCTTTGTGAACATATGCATGCACTTTAAATCTCTTGCAACTTCCTGTATATTTCTGTATCTATCTATCTATCTATCTATCTATCTATCTATCTATCTACATATATACACACACTTGCATTATAAGGTAGTCTTAAATGACCTCTTATCTCTCTAAATTAGATTGCTAAGGTTCAGATTAAACAAATTAAATATTCTGCCACCATCTTCTATCAAGAAAAGAGACTGCCTTGTCTGAGTCATGCCTGAAATCTACCCTTCTTAGTTCTTAGCCTGGGACAGAGCATCTGGTCTTCTCTGGGCTATAAGACTTGCCTTTATGATGAGAGTACAGGATTATACAACAGTTCATTGTTCATCTGAAACCACACACCATTGGGCTGATGTGTTTGTTGTGGATCTGGCTCGCTGTTACACTGCACATTCTCTGAGGTGTTTGTTGAAAACAGGAATCAGTGACCGGTTGTATTTCTCTTCGTGGGTTATCTTGTTTGTTACATTTTCTAAATGTATCACTTACACAGTACAAATGAGTTTCATAACTTGAATTTCACAGTTAAGTTTCAATAAACCTGTACAGTGTTTGACTGTAACATACTTGGTTTGCTGCTTTCATCATCTTTGCTTGACTTTCCCAGGAGCCTGGTGTGCCCTGCTCCTGCCATTCATTCTCATTGATTTATTTCTGATGAAGGAGGTATGTGGGTGAACTCTTAATATCAACCTGATCATTGAGATGCTTGTTAACTGGACACACAAAAACATGCTCGTTCACCATGTAGCTGTACTTTGACAGCCGTCAGTACACTCCCCTTTGTGATTTAGCAATCTCAGACTGTCTTCATGTGCTCCCTGTGTTCTCTCCTTTTTCTCTTGGACCTCTTATCTTTTATTGGCCTAGTTTCTAGGGTTCCAAGCATCAGAATCTCAGCTTTGACTGATGTAAGCAAACAGGAGTACTGGGTACTCACAGAATCTAATATAAAATAAAACAGGTCTTGAGAAGGCAGGTGCAGTTCTGGGAACTGTGTGTGGGGAGCTCATGCATCCTAGTAGCTCAACAGGTTTTTCATTCCTAAGCTCAGGAGCGCCGAGGACAGGCCTTAAATGAGGATGGCCCTGATTGGATTATGTTCTTGACTGCTTAGTCATCAGTTGTTAGATTGTTTGGGAAAGATTAGGTGTGCCCTTGCTGGAGGAAATGTATCACTGGGGGTGGGCTTTGAGGTTTTAAAAGTCCACACCATGCCCAGTCTGCCTCTCAGTTTCTCTGTCTGTGTCTGTCTATGTCTGTCTTTATCTCTGTCTTTTTGCATGCTGCCTGTGAATCTGGATGTAAAGCCCCCAGCTGCTGCTCCAATGCCATGGCTGTCTGCTTCCCATCACGATGCTCATGGACTAAGCCTTTGAAACTGTAAGCAGACCCCCAGTTAAATGCTTGCCAGTAATAGGACAGCAACTATGTCCTGGTGATACTGAAAACAATTTTAAATGGTAGATATTTTTTTTTTTAAGCAAAAAAAGTTTCTTTAAAGAATCGAGCAGCTGATAAGAGACCAAAATTTTCTGGCCAAAATCTAAGTGAAGGTAAAACCCAGAGAAATAACTATATCTCTGACAGTGCCTTTTCCTGAAAGTATTTATTATATGATCAAATTTCACTTGTTATATTCAGTGAGTCATTTTGTTCTCATCAAAAAAAAATTGATTTATTATATGTTCAGTGTTTTGCCTGCATGTATGCCTGCACGACAGAAGAGGGCGCCAGATCTCATTACAAATGGTTATAAGCCACCATGTGGTTGCTGGGACTTGAACTCAGTACCTCTAGAAGAGCAGTCAGTGCTCTTAACCTCTAGGCCATCTCTCCAGGCCTTGTTCTCATTGTTTTAACAAAAACACAAAAGCTAAACTAACATGAAAACGCTTGAATGTGCCATTAAACTGAAGAGCTTCAAACTTTGTAGCTGTTACATGGAGGACAGTTTAGGTAGGGATAACTGGCTGAAAAATAACAAAATCCATGACAGTTTTCCCTTTAAGTTGTCAAGCTTGTGGTTATTTGAGCAAACTTACAAAGTGAAAACCATAAAAAATATGAAAATGAAAACATGGCATCAGCTTTCTCTAGCCACATTGAATCTGATGATCTGAAGATAAGGAAAGAGAAATGTTATTCTGGGGGAAGTTTGGAGTCCCGGAGCCACTGGTGCCTCCAGAGTCCCCATCTCTGTGGGACCTTGCAGTAGAGGTCCTGAGACCCCTGGGCAGAGACTGGCTCCATCTGACTGGGAAGTACATGTAAGACAGAGTCTCTGTGTTCCTTCCTACAGCCACGGAGGCGAAACCCTGAGTGGAAAGTTGGAACATCTCGGGACAGTATCATTAAAGTTAGAAGAGAGGAGAGCTTAGCCTTCAAGGTGTCCCTGTAATTCCTAGAGGAAACGAGGAATGGGACAGTGCAGAGGGGATGAGGGAGAGGGAGAAGAAGGAAAGGCTGCTTTCCTCATCTGCAATCTCAGTGATTCCGTGGGAAGATTTTTGCATGTTGAATAAGAAAGGAAGGGAAAACCAGGTGGTGGTGGCACACACCTTTAATCCCAGTACTCGGGAGGCAGAGGCAGGTGGATCTTTTTGAGTTAGAGACCAACCTGGCCTACAAAGTGAGTTCCAGGACAGCCAGGACTGTTTAACAGAGAAACCCTGTCTCAAAAAAAACCAAAAAAAAAAAAAAAAAAAACAAACAAACAAAAAAACCAAACCAAAAAACCCCAAAACAACAACAAAAACAAAACAAAAAAACACAAGGATGTCAGCAGCATTGGGCATCGGCAGTGGCATCTCTGAGAACTTGACATTATAGCCACCGTTGAGATTTACAAACAAAATTGACATACCCTAAGATCCAGACAAACCCTCCAGTGATTAAATTCAGTCTAAAGTAGTTCCAATAGATCCTGAAGCAAGTATCTTGCACAAGTAAATGCACGTTGTTTTTATGAAAAGGGTACCTTTATAGTAGGTCTCAAAGTAGTCCTAAAACAGCTTTTTAAAGCAATGAAGCGTGCATAGGCAGAATTAAGCAGTAACACAAGGGGGTGGGGGGAATCGGGCTTACTGTGAATTAAGAATCAAGAGCTAATAGCAGAAACAAATCAGTAATCACTGATACTGAAGTTACTCGGCACAAGATTGCTTTGGCTATTTGAAGTTCTTTGTATTGCCATATGAATTTTAAGATCCCCCTTCAGTTTTGTGAAGAATGTCATTGGAATTTTGATGTGGAACACATTGAATCTATAGACTGTTTATTGTCAGTATAAATATTGTCTATCAACCTGTCAACCTATGAGCAGGGGAGGCTGTTATTCTTGGAGTTTCTTCAGTTTCTTTCTCTGATGTTTTAAAGTTTTCATCCCAGAGGCCTTTTACCTCCTCGGTTAGGTTTATTCCTTAGTATTTTATTTTATTTTTTGAATCTATTGTAAATGGGACCTTTCCCCCTCGCATGTCTGTGGTTGATATATAGAAAGTCTGCTGGGTTTTGTGTTGATTTTGTATCCTGCTCCTTTGCTAAAGTTGTCTACCTTTCCTGGTTGTGTCTTGAGGATTTTGTTGTTATTGTTTGTTTTAGTAGATGATCATATTGTTTACTAATAAGGAAAAATGTACCCATTTCCTATTTGTACCTGTTTTGATTCTCTTGTCTAGCTAGGACATTGAGCATGATGCTGAGTAAGAGCAGAGGGAGTGAGCACCCTTGTATTCCTGACTTTACAATGAATGCTTAGAGTTTTCTGCATTTAGTATAAACTGGTGTCTTAATTAGGTTTCTATTGCTGTGATAAAGCGCTGTGACTAAAAGCCATTTGGATAGGAAAGAGTTTGTTTCTGTCTACAGTGGTCGTCCATCATGAAGGGAAGTTAGGGCAAGAATTCCAGGCAGAACTGAAGTAAAGACCATGAGGAACAAGGCTCATTGGCTCATTCCCCACAGCTTGCTCACTGCTTTCTTATACATCCTCTCCAGGGATGGTTTCACCCACGATGGGTTGGGTCCTCCTGTCTCAATCACTAATTAAGAAAATGTACTGCAGACTCGCCTCCAGATAGATCTTTTGGAGTTTTGTTTTATTTTCCCAGTTGATAGTACCTCTTCCCAAATGACTGTAGCTTGTGTCAAGTTGACACAAAACCATAAATGGCCAGGACAGATTATATATTTGGAAATATACAGAAAGGCTAAAAGTAAAACCCAGAGGTAGGAGGAGCTGGAGAGATGGCTCAGCAGGTAAGAGCATTGTCTCCTCTTCTAGAGAACACTGTTGATTGTAAACTGATAGCAGTTTACAGCTGTCTTTAGCTCTAGTCCCGGCCAGCACCCTCTTCTGGCTTCTGTAGGCACCAGCCACACATGTGGTACATACATTTATTTACATGTGGGCCAAACTCCAATACACATAAAAATAAATGTAAAAATTTAAAAAGTAAAAGAATAGGAAAATATATACAATATAAGATTTCTATATATGAAAAATCTTAATACTAGATAGACATTAAATGAGAAATATTAAGCAGAGTTACTTTATAATGATAATGTCAGCTCACTAGTAAATTAAGATAGTTGTAAGCTTCTTTTTTAAATCTGCATGTTTGTTTTTCTTGCATATATGTTTGTGCACTGCATGCATGCCTGGTGCCCTCAAGCCAGAAGAGGCCACCATATCCCTCAGAACTGGAGTTACAGATGGTTGTACTCTGCCATGTGGATGTTGGGAAACAAATCCAGGTCTGCTGCAAGAACAACAAATTTCTCTATCTCAAAGGCATCCCTCCAGGCCCAAGATAGCTGTAAAATTTTAATTACCTAGTAACATTGTAAATATATATTAAGTATACGAAGTAGAACTTAGTAGAGCTAAACAATTTCATTATCATTCTATTTTTAGGTACCTAATTAATACAGCTAATAGGGAAAAAATACAAAGGAAATTACTAAGGACTGTAGAATAGACTCTCCTTTTGAGACCTTAAGAACATTTTTAAAAGTTGACCTATACTGGCTTATAGACTTACTTATAAATAAATCTCAAATTTTGTTGAAAGATTAATGTAGTCTATGGTATGCTTTCTGACCACAATGTGACTGATCAAGGAAACAATACAAAGCAATGCTGAAAGGGACAGTGTTGCTCTAGCTGTGTAAGGTGAAGATTGGGATGAAATCTGGGCATCCATTGCTTCTTAACTGCCAAGGCTCGTAGGTTGTCCTAGTTGGCTTTAACTGTTAGGTCGACACAGCCTAGAGTTATCTGAGAAGGAAAGCTCAGTTGAGGGATGGGGATGCCTGGGACAAGTTGTCATTGTTGTTAGTTGGGTAGGAGGGCTGCCATTCCCTAGGGAGGTGGTCCTAGGCTTTCTGAGAAGGGCAGATAAACAACAGCTTGCAAGTGAGCTAGCAACAGTGTTCCTTTGTGCTTTCTGCTTCTGCCTGAGTTCTCAGTGGGCTGTCACCGGAGTGGAGTGTAAGCCAAACAAATCCCTTTGTCCTTAGATTACTTTTATTCTGAGTGGTTTTTGTTT